TTATTATTATATCAATCACTGGTATTAAGACGTATTCAAAATTCTTGAAATTTTCTATAATTTGTTTAACAGCACAGCATGAAGGCTTCTGTTTTCGTGGATATCGAATGGCAAATGTGGCACATGTTCTTGATACAGCTTTATAACATTTTTTATAAATAATAAATAAGTTTAAATAATATTCATTTGTATAACTGAAGTGCCCTGGCAAAGGTAACTGACAGCTGTCAGCATTCTTTTGGCATTTGATTACATTAAAAATGGCCAGTTTCGTCATGGCAACTAAGAGTGACAGGATKTAGATGCTGCAAAATAGCCATATGAAAATATTAAATTGGCAATATTTCGAAAACTAAACACTTTTGGAATAGACATCTTTACACAAACTTACACTTATTTTTAATACTGAATATGACAAAATTATCAAAAATGGGGGTTTCCATTTGAAAAAGTTGATTTTGGGCGGTTTTYTCACCTGTATTTTGAAACTTGTTTTTTTAACASTTCGTATCAATAGTCTTCTTCMAACTKTTTTCGAAATTCCWTTAAAGTAAGTCCTTTCCAATAATAAATGCGACTCAAATTAAGCATGACAAATTCCCTTATAGGAAAAATTAATAATTATTCGAGTGGCTGCAACTGTAATTTTTTTCATAAAATTTCAAATATCTCAAAATCGGTTAGCCTCAGGTATAGGATATTCATGAAATACATTTGGAATTTGGAGTAGAATTCAAAAATGTAATAATATATAGGGTGTTCCATTTAAAATAAGCAAGTTGATACCTACTTCCGGTATAACCGGAAACGTGGCCAATTTGAAAATATTTTAGACCGCTTGCTCACAATGACAATTTTAAAATTTCTCCTAATTACAGTTTGTCTGATATCAATCGCGGCGGTTCCCGGTGGGACATCCTGCTAATGCTAATGCCTAAAACCCTGTATACTCTTGAATTTCAGAAAGCCGAAACGAAAATTTAAATTTAAAGACAGTATTTTCTCTTCCAACCAGAACTTTTGGCTTTCAGCGCAAAAATCCGAAAAGAAAGCTCAGTTTTCCCACTGTAAAATACACTTTTTACGCCTTCCGTTATCCTGGAGGCCAAATGTTTCGAGAATTTTTAGAGTCTCGGTCAAAAAATCATCTCTTTCCTCTTTCGTTTCGACATTCTTAATATTTCGTTCACCGTTACGCCCATTTTTAGACAACCATTTAATACTTTCGCATCTTTTCCAACTTAGCGAACAGCCTTAAAATATACGGATACATTTTGTGCACACAATAAGACGAAAGTAATGGAAAAACCAGAACCAATCTGAAATCCGAGTTAAAAAACAATACTATTATCGAGAGCAAATAAATAAATAGCACTTCATTTAGCCCACATCCAGATAAATATAAGTAATTTGTATACCGGGTGTTACAGGATTGAAGTGAAGAGCATAAGTCCATRACGTTAGTCTTTGATCCAAAAACATGCCCTTTCTAAAGCAATTTCGYAAGAAAAATGAATTTCCCTTAACAACTCCAATTCTCGAAAGGGAAGCCTTTATGAAACCATATTAATTTTTCATTCAGTTTTGCTGAACCGAAGCTTCCGGGCACTTTTGCCACTTCAACTCTGAAACCCCATCCGTATAAATAAATTTTATTGGCTAACGTACAATGCCCTTCACCATTTCGTCTACAATCTGAAAGATATACTTCGTGCTAAGTTTTGTTAAGAGAATCACCAGAATATCAGGAATGGAAGATAAACCAAAGTTTCGCGTGAATGTCTGCGAACGCAATCATGTGGTTGAAAAACTGACAATGTTAAAGTGAAATTTCTTCTCAAACAAGCAGACGAACATGTAAATATTTATTTGAAAATCTGGCTAAGGCTATAAAATTCGACACCCTGTACATAATGACTCCAAATTTCTCAACAATTTTATGCTATGCTTTCACGGTAATCGTTTGTCTAAAACTCAGTATGGCACTTTTTCATGAGGGCAGCTTTCTATTATTATACACCTATAAATCCTTTACTGTTAGGTATGGCCGTTTATATACAGTTTTATACAAGTGTTCAGCTTCCCACCATCATCGAGTTTTAGCTATGGAATATTGTTCTTATGCAGATAGTTTTCAGGCAAATTATGAGATCTCGGGGAAAACCCCTACACTCCTTTTCAATTTATCAATGGGCTGGACGGATCAGACAATATGCACCCAGGGAGTGGGAGTGAAAGACCGATTGAAGATGGGAATGCATGAACCCTCAGTATATGTATAATTTATAATTACACCTACTATTAACAATTGTTTTAACTGACGGAATAGGGATGAGAAAATTGTCTTTTAGCACCGCACTCTTACATTAAATACTCTAGGATTACCTACTGTCAGCTGGAGGAACCAGCCTCGGGAGGGGCCTGCCCACCCGAATGACTAGAATTGCCGTTGTTCGTTAAACTAACATCTTTTATGCTCACACTAGTGCTAGTGCTGCTCGGCCTTGCAACACTGGCCTCATTATGACTACCATTACAAGTAACACTTAAATCTATTTTCGTTAAATTCTTCATACAAATCCCTGTATCGGCCTCATCGACAAGGACATTGTTTGTGATGTTAATGTTAGTGCCCGTTTTCCTGCTGGGTTTTTCCAGCAGCACCTCGTCGTTATTGTTGTTTAACACTTCCGAGGCCGGATGGAGCGTGACAATCGATTGTCGTCTCACGGGCGTGACGGGAGATATGGGACTATGCAGGATGGCATAGAATGGCTCCGGCACGTTCGACTCTTTGGCAGGACTCACTGCTGCACTGGACTGGGCTTCTTCCTCTAGCATGCTGGTCTCAGCAGCTGAAGGAATAGTGGTCAGAAATCGCACCTGAAAATTGCAAGAAATCGTCCGGGTTAACTTAGCATTGGAAGGAGGAAATTCTGTCTTTTTTGAAGACAAAAATTTTTGATGCGAAATTCCCAACAAGAAGCTTGTAAAAAAATGAGTCTCTGAAGCTCTTACTGTTAGTCTTCCTGGTGAGCCAGGTGGGTCGAGTTCGTCATGAAAAGCGTACTGCCTGGTCAGTCTCGGCTTCACTCGGATGATCCTCGACGGTTCACTGGACCCACTCGATCGGGACATGCGCCACGTGCTGGTGCTGGCCGTAGTGGCCGAGCCTGACGAATCGTTCCTCGAACTGGACAAATTCGAGTCCTGCGACGTCTTTCGAGTCACCACCCATGAAGACGCTCTCCGCTTCGGGTCTAACATGCGCAATGGGATGCCGCAGTTGTGCGCATTGTTCCTCCATGAGTCCGATCTGAAGCGATGATGGAAGTTCTCAAAGTTAACTCAGTTTCTTCGGCGGTTTCACTATACCTGGACGAGCTGAAATTCTCACTAGAAGACATCGACGACGCCCTTTTGTGTTGCTTCTGCTGAATTTCCGCAATTTGGTACGTGTACGTGTTGCTGGGAGGGCGCCGATGTCGCGTGGGTCTTCTTACGCACAGCAACCAGCGCGCTTTGCCCAGAAGCCAATCTTTAGTGCTCGGCTGTCTTTCCAGGCGGGGCGCCGGTTTCGGCTGTTTCTTTTCGCCAAGAAGTTTCGTATTGCAGGTGCATTGAGGCGGCGGTTGGTGGTTTTGGTTTTCTCTTGATGATCTTCGAAATTGCAACAGACAATCAGTTTTCATGATTGGTCAACGTTTATTGAGATTGCATGAGTGAGGGCGTGACAGGCAGAGAGCTCGCTGTCATACTGAGTAACTGACAGCTGCAAACAACTGAGAGGGCCTGAATGAAAACTGTCAATTGGCAAAATTTTGAAAAATATGCACTTTTGGAATAGACGACTTTACACAAAGGCGGTTTTCTCAACTTGCGACTCGAATCAAGTAACCCATATTTCCTTCTAGGGAAAATTAATAATTTTGCCTACAACTGTCATTTTTACATAAAATTTGAAACATATCAAAAACGACTAAACCTAGATGTATGACATTATACATAATGCTGGGTTTACTGTACAGGGTTATTCACGCTATACGGCACGCAAGTTTGCGGCTAAACCGTTTGATTTTTAGAAAGTATTATTTTATGAATTAATATTTTTTAAATGTGCACTCGATAGGCCTCTATGGATTCATGAAATAATACTTTGCAAAAAACAAACGGGAGTTATGATATCCTATTTAGCCAACTTCACAAATTCATGATATTCTATTTCGCAGCTAAGCATAAGGAAATATCTACTTATGCTTACCAGGCACATAATGTTCTTCAGTTTCACAGATAGCATGTAAACTCATCAGCATTAATTCACTATATATTCTCACAAGTCTGTAATAACGAACAGTTGTATCTTGAAGCTGAAATCCATATCAATCGAAATAAAAATTGTTTTAAAAACTCCCTTTCCAAGGAAGTGATTTTAACTCGGGCTAGCCGCAAACGTCCGTGCCGTATAGCGTGAATAACCCTGTATACATTTAGAACTTGGGATGGAATGTAAAAATGTAAMAATATATGGGGTAWMARARACAGATTTTCGAGACCATTCCTTGAAACTATTGGGTTTTTAGGCCGTCGTAAAATGGAATTTCTTSCTGACGTTTCGCAAGCACGASTGGCTTGCATCTTCAGAAGTGGTTTGCTTGAACAGTGTAAGCGTTCCAATATATGGGGTGTTCCATTTAAAATAACCAAGTTGATACGCACTCCCGGTATGACCGGAAAAGTGGCCGTATTGGAATGATTCTAATTTTGCGAGTCCAACTCGTCAGTTTGCTCGCATTGTTCAGCCATGCAACTTACCTATCGGCCAAGCTGTTTGTGTTGGCGGGAGTCTGCCGGTTGCTGAAGTTGGAGCTGTGCCGACAGCGGCCGATGCCTCTGGTCACTCGGCTCTCCTCAATGGCTTTGCATATCATGACGCAGTCCTTCTTGAACTGCTTCGTCAGGATCGCGTACAAAAACGGGTTGCAGCAGGAATTCAACGGCAGAACGAACACCGTGAACACCTTGGCCTGCTCCAGACTGATCAGCTGCAGGCCGAAGGAGGCGGTGAGCGAAAAAAAGGCGATCGGCGACCAGCAGAGAAAGTCGGTAAAGACCAAGAGAGCCATTCGCTTGGCGATGCGCGAATCGTTGGAGTTCCAGGCTTGGGAGCCGCGGATGGCGCAGTACATTTTCAGGTAGCAGCCCATCAGGATTAAGAAGGCGACGCCGTTAATAAGCATGAGAAAGACCACGTAGGTGAGGCTGATTACGTCTTTTATCTCGAAGGGCAGGCACACGGCGAACTTGCGATAATCCGACACGCTGAACAGGGGAAGGATCGCCATTATAATGGCGAAACTCCAGCCGCATACCATGATGTAGCCGGCGTGCCGCAAAGATAAACGCTTATTGAGGTGCATTGCATGAGTGATGGCGTAATTCCGTTCCAACGTAATCACGGCCAACGTATAGACGGACAGCTCGGAGCTGAGGACGCCGAGAAATCCGGCCAATTGGCATCCAGGAGACATTTGCCAAGGAATGGCGTACATGCGGAATTCCCCTAGAGTGGAGGCATCCACGACGGCCAGGAACCCTGAAATTAAATGGGCTCGCTTTAGGCCCATCTTCATCAGAAACAAGCGAAACGCAGTTTGACGAAACTAAGTTTATGTTAAACGCGTTTAACGACGAACCGTTTTCACCAGCGCTTCGGTACGTTTCGCAAACTGCGTTTTTTGAAACGCAGTTTAAGAAACTGGAAACACTGGCATCGTTGCAAAAGTGAGAAACATTACGATTCTCATCGCAAAATCATCTTATCAAGGAACCATTTGGGTCCATGACGTCAACAACCCGTTATCAAACCCAAACTTGCTGCTCGAACTAACCGCAAAATTTTAGT